CTCACACAAACGCATTTATTACTAATTCTTCTTGAAGATTTAGCTCATAACTGATTGAGTAACTCCCACACCCCTCTTCTTTCTTAACTTTTAAAATCTTCCTCCTCTGTGCTCTCATAGGTTAGCATTTTTTCAAACCAGCCCAATGGCTAGGCCTTGAGCAATAGAGATTGACAGCAGTGGTCTCGTATCATCTGCCTTTGCATGCTGCTTGTTGTCTAGTCATAGACAAGCCTTATCTTACTCTTTTTGCCCTTCACTCCTCATCCCATAGCACACATTATAGCTTTGAAAACAATGGTTTTGTTTTAAAGATGACCATCCTAAATCAGAGCAGCAAAATGCATTATTAACCAAGCTTTTGTCACAATGAATTTGGTCATAAAACAAAAGCCATTCCCTAGTAGTATAATAGAGAAGGAAAGACCGGAGCAGCTCTTTGTAGGGCTTGCCACTAGAATATTGTTTACTGGTACTGGGAGAGTAAATGTGAAGGACCAATATGGTATAATAACTAGAAAAATAATATGAAGATATACATGTGGAACAAAATAGAATTTTCTCCTGATTATGTATTTCATACACACACACACACAAACACACACACACACACACACACCTGCAAATTTATAAATAAGAGGGGAGAGCTTACACTTTAATTCTGACAAGGTCAAAGAAAATTTAAGACATTTCATCCAAATCTGCCTTTCACATGGTGACTATAGTTGGTATGCAACCACTACATTTGCAGAAAACCTCACAGCAATTGAAACGGGCCTTAAATTACCACCCTCTTACAGTCACCTAATCCTTCTCTCAGTCTACCCTTCCCCAATCACAAAAATGACGTTTGTAAGTGTGTCATATCTAGGTGTAATCAAATAGAATGTGAACAGAGTAAAAGTTATAAAAAGCTAGCTTTGTGTTCACAGACTGACTAAGTCTCTGCTGGAGAAGGAGCCTTAGTTATATCTCTTAAAGACTCTTTTTGGCATTTCTTCAACCACTTAGGCAGGCCCCAGTTCTGCCCATGCCCGGCAAATCCTCATTCCTCTTAGGGACTTTGTTCTGCCTCCTCCACAGCTTCTTCTCTTCCAATCAAGGCTCTGACACTGCCCATTGACCACGTTTATTTTTCTGCCTTTTGGCACTGGGAGCTTGTCTGCTATAGGATAAAAGTGGAATTCTCTGCTGTCTGCAGGGCTTTCCCCAGGGAACAGAGCATGAAACCCAAACTTATATAAAATCATATCCTGTTTGCAAACATCATATTCCCTTTGCTTCTCACTGATCTGGTCCTGTAAACCCCAGCACAGCTTGAGAGCCCATTCCTCATCTAAACAAATGCCATAAGCCCCTTTATACTTTTACAACCATGTCAAAAAATAATATTGCCTGCCAATAGTGATGTGATTGGAGTTGCCTCCTCCGAGCCATAAAAGAAGCACAGAGTCTGTTATCAATTTCTCTAAGTGTATCAGGGGAATTATGGGTCGATTCAGTTCCAAGTTATAAATGACAACTCAAAAGCCGCAGAAGCGTTTGAAGCTAGGAGCTGATGACGACATTATCATAAAAGCCTGCTCGTCCTTGCTTTTGTGGGTTTTTCTGTGGCCTATCAAGTGAAGAGGGGAAAATGAGGCTGAGAAATGACTTCAAGATTTCTTCACACAGCAGCAGGTCAGATGGCCCGGAAAATGATCACTATTTTTAGTGATATACCCTGAGGAGTGAGAACTGAAGTGATCTTGCACTGGCTCTTATTTCCCGAGTCCCTTAATTATCTATTTTACTACACAATAACCAAGTCCTGGGATTTGGTCAAATGTTCTTTTCAACTAGTGCATTTTCTTGTAGTGCAATCACACAGTAATCAGAAATGAGTCATGCCATAATAACTGAACAAAACGCAAAACAAACACAAAGGAATTCAGAAACCTTGAGATTGTTGCTGGAAATGCAGTTCTGGAGAGTACATTTTACAACACCTTAAATATCATTCATCCACTGAACTGCTTGACCAAGACTAAAACCATGTGCAATTTTAGGGGAAATTTTAATGAGAAGTAGAAATGTTCTGATTTCCTAATGTCCCAGATAGTGTCCTCAAAAGCCAATTAACCCATCAGTATTCTGTAGGTATATATTAAACCCCTCTAGAATGAAATTATATATTCTAAGGAAGTGGAGTTTACTTTAACAATTGGGGATCACTGAGTATTTCGGAATGGAAATCAACAGGTCCCTCTTAGATAACTTGAGACAGAACGGAGCCTTAAGACAAAACCCATTTCAGTAATTTCTAAGATCTCTAGAGTGCTCCCATGTGGGTAAGCTGGGCCCCTCCAAGATCTTACTGGGAATCTTTTGTATAATTAATCTGTCTGGAATTGTTCTGGAGGCAAAAATTTAGACAGGCTCCAATCGAGGACCCAGAGTTTCTCCTAGGATGTATACTAAAACCAAAAATCTGAGAGGGTAAGATCACTTTTGAATGGCTAAGAAAACTATTTCATTTCTGTAAAAAAAAATACTGAATCAAACTAGTTCACAAGAGCATCAGCAAATGCAAGCTTGTACACACACACACATTCACACCCACCCTGACCTACCTAAGCACCACCTCTTCTCCCACCTTCTCCAGCACTGATGAAGTCAAACTAACAATGAAGGGCTCCTTCTCCTTCCTCTGCTGGCCCACCCCAGATTTATCGGCCACCACTGCTGCCACCATCCAGGTGAGGTCAGTTCTGGGGACATTACTAAGGGCTTACTCTATGACCCATACTGTGCATTATGTTTGATCAGAAAGGCAGAGGAAGCAGCCCATATTCATTCCCTGGTCATTTTGAATGACGAGGGAATGAGTTTACTAAAGCAGTTCTAGGTGAGAAATAAGAAGTCACTTCAGATTTAGAGCAGTTGAGTAAAGGAACTTTGCATTGAAAAGCAACATCCCAAGTCAGATTTGGGAGGTGAGTCCTAGGGAGATGTCCTCAGTTCAGTCCTGGGTCATAAATTAAATATACAGATGCTCTTTGACTTATGATGGAGTAACAATAAACCCATCATAATTTCAGAATGTCTCAAATCAAGTAAGAATTTAACACATCTAACTTACCAAACATCATGGCTTAGCCTAGCCGACTTCAAACATGTCAAACACTCACATTAGCCTACAGTTTGGCAAAAGCATCTAACACAAAGCCTACTTCATAATACAGTGTTAGACATCTCACGTAGTTTATTGAACACTGTACTGAAAGTGAAAACTAGAATGGTTGTATATTCAAAGTATGGTTTCTACTGAACACGTATCAGTTTTGTACCATCATAAAACCAAAAAATCATCAAATGAAACATCGTAACTTGGAGATCACCTATACTTCTAAATGAGTGGTATATGATGACCACCACCCTTTTAACAGCTTTCATTTCCTCCGCATCACTGTTCCCATTAAGTAGTCATTAGGTTTGTTTCATTTTTTTGCCCCATCTACAGGTAGACAGCCATTCTCATAAAGTAGCCACTTGGGATGTTAAAAAATAAGCACAAAGCCAATGAAACCCATTTTAAAAGTCAGTTTATCCTCTGCTTTCCAGAATTATTTTGCAAGCTCCCAGCTCCATAGGTGGTTGGCTAAAAGTGAGCAGGGATTAATGTGGGATGACGACTGTCCCACACTGGTGGTCAAAAAGCAAAAGTCACTGGTGAGCTGTCACAAAGAAGTTACACCACATCAGCCACACTGCTGCACTGCTGACTCAAAGGGAGTGGGGGTAAGCTATTGCTAGTTTGTTAAAGATGAAAGCCATGGAAGTGTTTAGAAAGCTCTTTTGGAACTCTTGGACAAGGATGTGCACATCAAACCCATACTTTCAGCTTTTTACCCTTTACTATGTGACTTCAGAAAAATAACTTAGCTTCTCCCAGCCTTCACTTCCTCATCTCCAAAACTGTGTTAATAACAATGACTATTTCACAAGGTTGTTTTGGAATTCAGTTGTTTGATGGTAAACTGTAAAGTCCACACAGAGGCAAATGGATATAGCTGCCATTCTGATTTCCAGAGCAGGCAGAATCACAGGTGAAGGAACAAAAGGCTACAACTTGCTAAATTTGGCATCATCAAAATGATCGAATAAACGAAAAATATTCAAGATCTGTTTGCATCAAATTTTAGTTCTAGCAAAACAATTGTCTAAAACATAATACACAAAATGTGACTAGTTTTTTTCTTTCCCTTCAATATCAAGTCAATTTAATTGACTTAAATACCTTAGTCTTTGAAAATTTCACCAGAATTATGTTGTTCTAACACTTAGTTCTACAGGAAGATGATTTGTTACTGGTAAGGGTTACTTTAAATAGATTTCAGGTTATAGGGTATGTTCTAATCATCTACAAAAATGTACACATTTTTCTTCATGTGTTGCTAATTCTAATGAATTTGTCCTTGAAATGTGGTATAAATATGCTGGGTCAAAAAGCTTCCTTAATTATTGAAGACAAAAATGTCCCCAGGGGGTTCACAAACAAAATGTTCCATAATGCAGAGCACTTTGTGAAGTTTATGCCATTTTCACCAGGAATATAATGTATGTGCACACTCAATGTGATTCTATTGAAAATGGAATTCTACTGCAAAACTGTATTATACTCTCTTGTAGCACCTTTTCTCCAGTTATATAAAGGCCGAGCAAAGCTGGCTTCATGAGTGTTTGACCTGTGCAGTTGCATGAGAACTTAACAGTTAGAAGGCCCTTGCCCTTGATTTGATTGTGTTGCCACCCTCTTGAGATTCTTAACAATTTTTTAAACAAGGGATGCCAGATTTTTATTTGATACTTTAGCTCTGCAAATTATGTAGGCAGTCATGAAGTCTAGTTAAACCTCTACTGAGAAATAACCTTAAATATAACTGAATAGATAAATCAAAGAAGATTTTTTTTTTGTAATTTTATGTTATTTAAAGGCCGTTAAACCAGCTGGTACTTACCCCAAGTCCACCACAAGGTAATGAGGAAAAAAACTTTTGAGAGTCATCACCTATAGAATAATAAGACATAAAAAATATATAAACTGGTATTATAAATACAGTTTTTAAAGTGTTCATGTTTATTAACACATAGTAATGTCACATGGTATTTATCATCTGATGCAAAAATAAATTAATAAAACTTCAGACCAATTATTCAATACAGTTAATTTTCAGAATATCATTGTTCTACCTTTCTGTATACACAAATAGGAACTGAAAGCAAATCAATACAACTATTATTGCAGGTAATGTCTATTGCCCCACATGAATAAACAGATTTTTTTAAGTTGTCCTACATGTCTGTATTATACATGACAATTTTTTAAATTTACAACTTATGGTAACTAATTCAGCTATTCATTGAGTATATTCATTCAATGGGATGTTTTGAGCTACAAGGTTTATGCCACCATATACCATCATTTCTTAAATATTTCAAATATTAAAATATCTTCTCAAATGTACAGACTTATTCTTAATTTCTACTTCAGATATAGCTAAGTATAGCTGGTTATAAATAACTATATCTACTTTAAGTTAGAGCTAAGGCCAAGTACACCATAAACCACTTCTAACATCGCAATTCTTTAAACAAAACACTATGAAGGGATAATCCCATTTACATCAATATCAATATAAAATATCTTCTTTAAAAATATATGCCCAAATCTTGATTGTGAGTATCCCTTAGAACTGGTGTTTTAAGGGATTTTTAACAATAATGCTGTTTACCTGTACTTTTATTTTCTACATTAGCTACTACATGAAGAGAGAGAACAGTAGTAACTGTGACTAAATCTTTAACATTAAAATCTGCCTGTGGAGTAATCACAGGGAAAGGCAGTGAACATTTCTATTTCATAGTCAAATGGTTCTGAGGGGACTCAGGCATGTCCTCAACAATTCAGTGACAGAACCAAGTACACATTTCCAATTCACCTATCCCTTCATTTGTTCTGTTGATAATCAGTGAAATGAGAAATTAAAATTGATAACAGGCTTGTAGTAGAATTCATATGTCATGTCATTAAAAGTCTAAATAGCTTTTATTGTTACAGAAGAAAGTTTGTTTTAAAAACAATATATCATATGAATTGGTTTTTTAAATGCAATTACTGAAAGATGGAAAATGTTAAAGAAAAATGCATGTGCAAATGAATACATCTAGTTATAAAATGATTTTTTATTTTAACAAAAGATGAGAAATCAACAGAATTAAAAGTAAAAATCATAAAATAATATTTAAACTTCAATATTGGCATTAGTAAAAGGCACATCAAAAATTTCCGGGGAGGAGTAAAGTTTTCTTATGTTGTTGTTCCTAACAAAATATTTCTGTATTCCTGAATATTTTATAAGAGTATATTCATATGTCACCTGTGAAATTAAAATAGATATGTACATTTTAGTGTCTGAATTCGTCATAGTCAACAAACAGGAATGAAGATAATATTATAACCGGGTAAGTTAATTTTTTTTTTTTTTTGAGATGGAGTCTCACTCTATTGCCTAGGCTGAAGTGCAGTGGTGCAGTCACAGCTCACCGCAGCCTCCACCTCTCAGGTTCAAGTGATTAGCCTGCCTCAGCCTCCCAAAAAGCTAAGACTACGGTTGCATGCCTCCAGGCCTGGCTCATTTTTGCATTTTTAGTAGAGAAAGGGTTTCACCATGTTGGCCAGGCTGGTCTTGATCATGACTTTGTGATCCACCTGCCTCGGTCTCCCAAAGTGCTGGGATTACAGGTGTGAGCCACAGTGAAGAGCCGATGAGCTAATTTTTAAGAGTAATTTTTAAAAATTATTAACTACAAAGGGAATTAGAAAAATAAGTATGCTACTTAGGAGAATTTTATTTAATACGTACTTAGAAGAATGTTTACATAACACAAAACAGGCAAATAATTGATACTTTAAATTTAGAAATGGGCAAGAAACTCTTATTTCACCAAACTGACTGGGTTTATTTTTAATTATATTGTCTTATCAATGCACTGAAATTTGGCTGTCCACAAGAAAAGTGGAAACTGGTCAGAAGAGCGACATAAATATTAATGCTAAGGAAACCCTTGCACCAGAAATGATTAGAGAGAATATCTTTTAAGTGTCACCTTACAGGGTCTGGAGTATTTAAAGAGATAAACGATGTTCATTTTCAAATCCAATTATTTTATCATATGTAGACGTCTTTCAAGATACAAAGACTGATAGGTCTGATCATACTGAACTTTTAGTTAAACCCTTTCTTCTAACTCTAGAACACAGCTATCAAGAGAAGTAGTGTCAATGTAACTCAGAAAAGACACCTCCCATCTATGTTGGGAAAAACTAGGGGATGTAGTAGGATATATGGAACTAAAAGTAATGGATAAAAAGAGAGCAAACATCTTGATGATTATGAATTTCTATACATTCACATACATCTTGATGATTATGAATTTCTATACATTCACATACATCTTGATGATTATGAATTTCTATACATTCACATACATCTTGATGATTATGAATTTCTATATATTTACATATGGCAGCTTCAATCTGGTCTTCCAGATACTAACACAACAACAGAAGCCACAAGAATCCAAATTTCACAAAGAACAAAAAAAATATTAAAAATTAACCTTTTAAAAAAACAGTTATTCACTTTGTACTAAGATTGAGAAAAATTAGCTAAACTTTTGGATACACTACAGAAAAAGAAGTAGTTTTGAAGTGCTGACACAGTTGAATTTAGTGCTTGACATTAAGGCCTGATTGAATGCAACAGCCTGTTTATATGTACTCATGTGCTCACACACAATATTGAAATTGTTGCAATGATCACTGAGAACTGTATGTGAAACTCCACAAACGTATAGAATACTAATTCTAAAATTATCAACTGATTTTTTGTTGCACTACTAGCCAAGTATTTTGAACTGACACCAGCATTAACTAATGATAGCGCTGGAATGTGCTATTCCCAGTACAATGGAGTCCCATACAGACCTAGAAGTATCCTGGGGTCCAGCTTCTGTCCGTCCAGGGGGTTGGTGCCATACAACAGTGAGTGATGTTCAGAATGAACAAGCTGTATTTCCTCCAGGCTGGCTTTTCGACCTTGAATTCGCTGAAAGAAAACAGCAGAAGCCAACAGTACTCCTCTGACAACATTTAGAAGAAAATGAGACCCCCAGTCACATTTAAGATGATTAATAATGGGCTGAATTTCATCATGTAGGAATATGACACTGATTTGCTTAGTTAAGTATCATAATAATATTTGAAAAATGAGTGTATGGAAGGTTCAGATCCAACAGATTGCTTATGCCTAAATGGGCAACTGACATACAGTATATTCTTATTTGGCATGAAAGAGAAAGCTATAACACAGAAATTAATAGTTAACTCTTGTCAAGTATCAGCTTATAAACAAATAGGGGCTACTGTTTAGCTGAAAATTAAATGTATTACAATCTTGTTTTACACTTACCCAAAGAAGTTGTTAGAACACATTCATTATTCTTTCTTGAAGGACATAAATAAATACAATTTCATTTTAATCAATCTGATGATCACAGATATGCTAATCACTTCCCATGTGTGCACCTCACTGTAGTATTGGTTTAAACCAATATTCCTCAAAGTATGTCCCATGGGATCAATAACAGTTCAATATCTGTTTATCAATGGTCTGTGGTGAGGTCAGTACAGAAATTCAGATCAATATTTAGAAACTTTTATGGCAATTTGACAGTATTTTTTTTGTCTTCTGAATCTACTATAATCTTGTATCTCTTCAATATTTATTTCACTTTTTCCATAATTCATTTTAACATTTTTAATAAAAATATTAGTCTCTGACAGATTGGAAATTAAACAAAAACAAATACTGCTGTTTAACCAGACATAGTTTGAGACACTCTAGACTCCATCAATTTTTTCCAAACAGGCGAGGCAGAGACTTTCACTCTATCTAACAAATCACAGCCCTTCAACATAGACAAAACTGTACATTAGGTTCAACCTCAATTATCCTATATGCAAAGTGTTCTTTCTGGCTCCATTCCTCAGCTGGCACATCTATGAGCCTGATAAATACTGTGCCGGTGCATGAAGTTAATTAGCCTTAACTTCCGGAAATTCCTGTTTTCTAGTATTATGAAGAAGGTATTAATATTTCACTTAAAATATATATATCACCACAAGACAGCTGTAAAATAATATTTACAGAACAACAGAGAAATTCAAGGAGAATCTTTTCAGGGAGTTGACCTAGAAACATCAGGTGACAACACCTCTCTCAGGACAAGGACAATTCCACATTTAGTCTCCCTAGTTTAAAGTGTTACAGCTGCTGCCAGACTCTTCGATACTGATGTGTGGTTCACTGAAGGGGCAGGCCAGGAAAACTTCAATATCTGCAATTCCTCAGCATTTACTGGGCAGGAGGCAGTGTCATTGAAAATAAATGATCAGGTCACACTGAGAGAGGAATGGTGGGAGTCTCCAGGGGTAACAGGAAAGGAGTGATTAAAGCAAAATCTCATTAACACTGCCTTTATGTGCTGAATAGACACACGAATACTTATGGAACTTTCTTTGCATATCATTGAAGTTCCCTGTTTTTGATGCTATCATTCAGCATTGTCTAACCCAAGTCACATTACTAGAAAAATAAAAATATGCTTTAGAGAAATTAATACAGGTAGGTAAGATCAGAACTCTGATGCTGAAGACTAAGGAAAATGTAATGATGGCTTTCTGGTCAGCCATCTTTCTGATCCACAAGCAAATATCTTGAATCAGGTGGCTTGCTAGTAAACATTCAATCTGGGAAAAGTATACTGAAGACCGAAACAACCAAAGAAGCAGAATGACATGTAAAGAGACAAAATAAGCATGAGAAAATCTGAAGCCAACATTAAAGGGAAAAGTTTAAACTGTGAGATTTCAGTGGGTGGAAAATCCCTCAAGATAAATAATGGTAAGTCCATGGTTTGAGTCATAAAAGTGGACTGAGCAGGGCACTGGAAAACAGAATGCAGCAATCAATCCTAGTCCGGCAGAATAATGAACACCATGAAATAATATGGCTTCGAGCTCTTCTTTCTATGGGTCTTTGAAATCCATAGCCACTAACATCACATATTCTGATACAGTGAAACATCAATATCTTAAACAATGTCAGTTCAGCAGCTAATTATTAGACCCATGTTTTGATGACTATCACAAACATTCATTGATATTTCCCCTTTCTTCATTTCTATAAAGATTCTCTTTATCTATAAATTGAATTTTTACTCTTGTATAATATTAAATACCATTAACAATAAGTCTATCTTTTTTTTTTTTTTTGAGATGGAATTTCCCTCTTGTTACCCAGGCTGGAGTGCAATGGCGCCATCTCGGCTCACTGCAACCTCCGGCTCCTGGGTTCAGGCAATTCTCCTGCCTCAGCCTCCCGAGTAGCTGGGACTACAGGCGTGCACCACCATGCCCAGCTAATTTTTTGTATTTTTAGTAGAGACAGGGTTCACCATGTTGACCAGGATGGTCTCGATCTCTTGACCTCGTGATCCACCCGCCTTGGCCTCCAAAAGTGCTGGGATTACAGGCGTGAGCCACTGTGCCTGGCCTAACAATAAGTATATCTTTATGTGTTCATACACTAGTTGTGTAAATCTACATACCATGCACTCCATGCTTGTCCCAACACCTTTTCTTATTCTCCCACAATTCCACTGATTTTAGCTGAATGCTGTCACACATTTGAACGCTAATCTGCTAACAAGATTCACTGTACTTGACAGTGGCTGAAGCACTAGTAAGTCATAAAAACAGCAGTCTCCTATCTTTTTGGCACCAGAGACCAGTTTTGTGGAAGACAAAAGGGGCAAGATGGCTTTGGGATGATTCAAGCACTTTCATTTATTGTGTACTTTATTTCTATTATTTTTACATTGTAATATATAATGAAGTAATTATACAACTAACCATAATGTAGAACCAGTGGGAGCCCTAAGCTTGCTTTCCTGCAGCTAGGTGGTCCCAACTGAGGGTGATAGGAGACAGTGACAGATCAACAGGCATTCGATTCTCATAAGGAGCGCTCAACCTAGATCATTTGCACAGTTCACAGTAGGGTTAGTGCTCCTATGAGAATCTAACCCTGCTGCTGATCTGAAAGGAGGCAAGGCTCAGATGGCCATGCAAGCCACTTGTGTAAGATCAGTCAACTAACAGTAAGGACAGAGCATCTGGCCCAGCTATCTAGCATTGACTTATTCTAAGATTTTTCTCTGCTAGTTATACTCTAGGCCTCATCCTTGCTATTAAAATGTGCCATTATTCCTAAGTTTCCACCTTGATTTCTCTTTTTCTCCTTCTCCTTACTCTTTCTTTTGACTTTAAGCAAGTATTTTACACTGGCTCTTCTCATTACTATAGGAAATATTTTTAAAAAAATAATTTCGGGCCGGGCGCGGTGGCTCAAGCCTGTAATCCCAGCACTTTGGGAGGCCGAGGCGGGTGGATCACGAGGTCAACAGATCGAGACCATCTTGGTCAACATGGTGAAACCCCGTCTCTACTAAAATTACAAAAAATTAGCTGGGCACGGTGGTGCGTGCCTGTAATCCCAGCTGCTCGGGAGGCTGAGGCAGGAGAATTGCCTGAACCCAGGAGGCGGAGATTGCGGTGAGCCGAGATCGCGCCATTGCACTCCAGCCTGGGTAACAAGAGCGAAACTCCGTCTCAAAAAAAAAATAATAATAATAATAATAATAATAATTTCACTAAATATAAGGAAGTACTTATTCTTGGCAATCACCCTCTGCTTGCTTCTTTGGTTGCTAGAGAACAGCCCCACCAACATAGTGCATATATTTCTACAGAAAGAGAACAGTGAAAACTAATTCAGTACCAAAAAAAAAAATGTTTCTACCTGTAGATAGGATCTGGAAAAAGCATCTTTTGAGATTTGTATCTCACAGAGACACTGCTTGGGGAACTTGGTGGATGACTAAGCTAAAAATTCTGAAAGAGCAACAGTTTTCTTTATTTCCTAACATGTAGGAGCTCCTGGAGTAATTCTGTTTTTGCTTCACTTGAATTAGATGCCTTAAATTTGTCATATTCAACTTTTCCTTTCATATTGAGATCTTCACCAGCTCCCATTTTCTGGTATTACCATCAGTAATTTAGTATTTTATTTGTGTAGGCTTAAATACAGATATTCCCACTTAATGACTTCTCATATTTTCTACTTCCTGTGTATACTTTATCCTTTCATTTCTCTCTCTCAGTGCTCTGAGTCAAAGGTCAAGAGCATAATGAGTCAAAAAATAGGCTAAAGTGCTCTGATAATATTAATTTAGGGAGTACCGATTTCCATTCTCAGAGATACTTGGTCTGCAGAATATCTATGTAAAGTAATCTATGATAGTCTGACCATAAAGATTTTTAAGAATTCTTAGCATATTGGGGCACTCAATGCAAATAAGGGAGGGATTTCATCTGGGGATTTCTCACGTGGAGCCAATAAAGGTCTTACATGTCTTACTAACAAAGGCCTAGGAATGAAACCTTGAAGCTTTTTTCACCCTCCTAACAAAGAAATTTTGTGATGTAGGTCTGTGTTCATTGTTACGTTATCATTCCCTGTGACTTGCACTTAGTTTCTTCCCAGAGAGTGGGAAAAGGAGCTATGTTCACTAAGTGCTTACCCTGTGCTTAGGAACATGATCATGTTTAATTCAGAGCCCTAAACAGTCTATATTCAGGTTGGAAGTTTGGCCAGTCATTTAAAATGACCATATCATTGAGTTTCACAACACACCATGGTTCTTTCCCAAAGAAAAAATCTTTCTGAAACAGAGCCTGTTAATGCAACCTGATTATAGAAGAAATGTTCTGAACATGATCTACAAAGTCATACTGTGGCAGGATAAAATGCAGTCTACCCACACCTACCCACACACAAGAGCACACACACGGTATAGATTCATATTTTTTTCTGCCAAGGAGCAGAGAAAAAAGGAAACAGTTCTATTCCTTTTCCTCCTGTGTTCAAAGCCTGGATTGAGGCCAGTGTCCTAATCAGTTCTCATTGGCCCTGGAGGAATCAGA